TTTTATGGTGTTTTGTTGTTTTCATAATAGGATGTAAAGGCCTGCAATGACACATGTACAGATACATACTGTGGGAGAATCGTATGTCTAAAAAACTCCAAATGGCTCATGCAAAAGAGAAGAAAATTCAGTTTCTGTGGTTTGGTAATAAGTCCCCTAATAGTTCCCATTCTTGCTGTTCTACCTGAGGAAAAATAGAAAGTTATTTAAATAAAAATTACACAAAAAGCCACCAGAAGAGATGAACAGAAAGCAGCTTGCTACAGTACAAACCAGAAACATGCACCTCTGTGTGTTTTGCTGCTACTTGACGAGTAAGCTCTGTGTGAGCTACGGAGCACCTCACACAGCAGCACTTCTCTCCCAGCTTCTGACACCATGCACAAATGCCCCAAGGCTCTGCCTCTGTGTTTTACTGAACCAACTGAAATGTTTTAAAAATACGTCTCTGTATCAGTGCAGTTGACATAGCTCACATATTCACAAACACCCCTATTTACATAACTTTGGAAAACTTCAGTGGATGACACTCAAGGTCTGCCAAAGGAGCCCGCTAAAGTGACACTGTGGAAAAAAGGAAATATACAACATCCCATTGTATGGGGTGGAAGGCCAAGTGCATCCTGGCTTCTCATCCCAAAGTAATTTTTGTTCTGGGAAGTAAATAAATAAATAAATACATCGACTGAAGCCTTTGGAGTGTGATCTATACACTTCCAAGGGGGAAATCTACCCAAGTGTAAAAGATTGATAGATATGCTTCCTGAAGTGTTATCTCCTAAGGTGATCACAGTGTTTAGCAGATAAAAGAGGACTAAAGAAACTTTCTAATGCCAACTGAGGAAAAAAAATGTATTTGTTATTGCTATCATCATGCAAAACTCTGGCCTTTATTGCCACAAGCTATTTTAAGGCCTCCAAGAACTGCAGGGATATGTGAATACTTTGGACTAAAAATACAATCAAAGATGCAAAAAACATGCCCAAAGAGATTTTTTTTTTTTTTTGCTGTTGAGCAGAAGAAGTTCAGGAAATGACCACGAACAGTTGTTGGCCACATATTAAAAACCACTGGCGAGGGAACAAGCACTGGCAGTTCCCACTTGTGAACAAAACCAAGCTGACAAGTGAAGGCGACTAACTTTGGACATCAGCTATTATTTTCTACAAGTATTTTCTGCTGCTAAGGCTCTTGTGGCCTTACCAGTGAAACTGAAGGGCTCCACTTTGTTTCTCTTGTCGCTTTCATCGGTGCGTAAACGCAAAAAAAAAAAAAAAAAAAGGAAGAAAAGCAGCAGTTACATAAGTTGAGCGGAAAGTCGGGAACGTGCAGGGAGAGACAGCCATCTGTCTCGCTGCCTTTATGCTGTGTTATACACATGGCACTGGCTTGCACCCTGCCATCTAGCAGAGGAGGAAACCGAGGGAGCGCCGAGGCAGCCCAGTTCAGGCTCCCAGCAGAACCGAGACGGAGCACTGCGCTGCAGGGAGGAGGGAGGAAATAATGCGTTTAGCAGAGGATGCGAGACTGCCGACCGAAGGGCCTCTTGGGCGCTCGTCGCTGAATGAATTAAAGTTCCCGGCGAGGAGGCCGGGGGAAGCGACACGAGGAGTGTGACAGGAGGCAAGGGGAGCCGCCAGCCCCCCGGGGACACGGCGGGCACACGCCGGAGGGGGCGCGGGGTCCCCGGCGCGGCCGCTCCCGCCCCAAGCGGGGACCGGGGGCTCCGGGGGCCGGCTCCTGCAGCCCAGGGCCGGGCTGGGCCGGGTCGAGCTGGGCTGGGCTGACCCGCCGGGCCCGGCCCCGAGCCCCCTCCCCCGGCTGCGGGCGGGCGGCGCGGGCCGGGAAGCGGCCTGGATGGAGAGCGGCGCTGGGAGCGATGCCCAGGGCTCACCTTCCCCTCCCCCCGGAGAAGCGCGCTTCAAAATGGTTTTGCAGGCGAGGCTGGCCAGGCTGCGCTCGGTGCAGGGCTTCCAAGAGCAGTGCCTGGGTTGGTTTCCGTATATTCTTTGGCTTTTAATAGCTAGCTGAGGGAAAAAAAGAAAGCATTATTGTTTTCTTTCTTTCCTTCTCTCATTGCCTATTCTAAATTTGACTCCAAAGTTTAAGCAGTTGAATTGGCTAATTCTGAATACAGTCTATTGAGAGACCAGACACAGCAGTATATCCCTGTATAGCAATAGATACAATGTGCTGAATTGGCAGTCTAATTATAAATGTGGCATTTGGACCTCCTTTCAGACCCAGTGCCACCTTACCTTATGAGGGAACTTCAACTACAGCAACTGTTCAAAACAAAATGCCATTACAGGATCAGCTTCACCCAACACTGGAACCAGCCAGGGGATTGTTTTACAAACAGCCTTTCTCACTTAACACAAGAATGTATTATAAGGAAAAGTTATGGATAGTGCAGAGTCTGAAGAAAATGCGTATGTAGTTTCTGCCAGGTGTCGAGCTACTTCAAACTGCAGCATACTCCAAATGACCTCATTATTTTCTTTTAAATGTACTCACTATAAATAATTATTCCTTAGTTTTACTAGAATGAGCTGCTAGGTACGCTTGCTGTTTATATTCCAAGCGTAGTGTGCATGTAACGTCATGAGCACAAAAACCCACGAAATATCCTGGCTCAAAACAAAAACCTGCAATAAGATCTTGCCAAAGAATCATGGGGTGCTGAAAAAAAAGTTTTTTAAAGGGTCCTTTCCAGGGAAATGTTCGTATTTAATGGCAGGCTACATGCACATATCTCACATTCATTCTTATTATTTACTTTATGGTATTATAATGGCTTAATTAAATGAGTGGGCACAAGCACGTCAATAAAACAAGTCAAGTCAAGTCGAAGTCTCAAAACAGGTTTCAAAATTGCTCCATTACACGAATACAGAAGGGGAAATTCGTTAATTTTTGGACTACAAACTCTGTTTGAGGACTGGGTAGAACTGTTCTCCTGTCCTCACGATCAGCACTGAAGACGGAAACGGCAAAAAATGTTAAAGTGAGGGCAAAAGAAAGCAGTAGGAACAAAGTGCCGCTCGTGCGCCGAAGGCTATTTAAATTTGCTTAATAAACATATACCTTATCTACGAACAGCAGGCGAAGACATATTACTTTATCACAGAAAGTTTCACCTCTCTGTTTTTGGGAAACACCCCTAGGACAGCACTAATCTGCCGTCCCCAGGCTCCCACCGGGCTGCCTTTCCCCGCGGCCCCCCCTTCCCCCCACCGCGGCCACTCAGACGCAACACTAATTGTCCTTTCACGGTGCCACTTTCACTCCTTCCCGTCCTTTCACAAACAACAAAACCGCAGCAAACCCCACGGCGAGGCGGCCCGCAGGAAGCGGAGGCAGCGCCCGGCCGGACAGCGGCGGTGCCTGCCAGTGACCCCGGGCCCCGCCGCACGGCTCGGGCCGCGCCGGGGCCGCCGGCCCGGGGACACGTTCGGCTGGAGGTACCTGCTCGCATCCCGCCCGCCTGCTCGCCCTCTGCCCTGGCTACACCCAGCCGCGACCCCGCCGCCGGTACACGCGTGCATGCATTACACGAGCGGGCAGCGCCGGTGCCCGCTCCTCCCCGGAGCGGGGCAAGCCGCAGAGGCGCACTCATTAGCTCCCACTGATGATTCCTTTCAGGATCATGAATGGAACAATTGTCAAAAACTGCGGGAAAAAAAACAAGCCCCGAGACTATTATATACAGACGCAGCTTGTGTGCGCGCATGTGACAGTTGCAGGCAACCCAGATTTGGCCATAAACTCTTCAGCGTTATCCGAGATAAAACATCAAATTGCTTGTACGGTAAAAGAGGCTCCTTATCCCCAATCCAAAAAAATAAACAGCTTCCAAGGTAGTGAAACCAGGGAAAAGAACAAGCTCTCCACAAGACACACCTTGCCTCACTCGTATCCTACAGCACCGCCTGCAAACAGCTGCGCTAGCTTGTTGCAACTGCCACTATTTTATTTTAAAAGAAGAATAACAGTAATAATAGTAAGTGAAATACTTCCTGAAAACTTACTTTGCATTTAGTTTAGGCACTATTCTTTTTTTCAGCTCGCAAAGGAAGCCGTTTTGTCCAGGTTAGGTATTGTCTACTTATGGATCAGCCTCTGGCTAAGGGTTTATTTTAATTTATGGCTTATGCATTCTTTTAAGGTCGATTTGCATGACCTCCGGCAAAGAGCTAAGGCAGCAAGAAATCCCAAGTCGACTGTTGCCACAAAGCGGCACGCATCTCCCCTTCCCCGGGTGTAAACAGAGCTCTCTGATGATGGACTGCCTTCTTCCCCCCTCCTTGTGTATCACGAATTAGGGCGCGATATCGATTTTAAAGTTTTCGGTATAACTTTATCCAGGGCTCTGCCGGCAGAGATAAGGCGGCGGCGGCGGCGCCCGGGACAGCGCCGCGCCGTGGCCGAGCGCGGCACGGCCGCCGCCGCTCCCGCAGCTTTGTGTGCTCCCCGCAGCCGTCCCCGGCCAACTTCAAAGCACTCACCCACCTCAAACTTCGCGCAGAACCCACAAGCACCGCTAAACTCCCCTCGCCTCTCTCCATCCCGCGTCTCTCGGGGTTATCCGCCAGGAGAAACCCACGCGAGCGCTTCGGAGCAATGACAGCAGCGCTCCGCTCCCAAAGATTTATTTCGGATTTTATTTTTCCTCTCTTTCTCCCTCTCGTGTTAGTTCCTTACGTACAATATCTTCCCGCACCATGTGTTCGCCTGCCGTGGGTGATCTTAAAATACAACGCTGATCTGTCACTACATTTTAAAATAAACTCTACTCGGGAAGGATGAGAAAGTGTTGTGATTTCAAGGTACTGGGGTCCCTTAACGTCTCGGAAACCTCGGGATTCAAACAGCCCCGGAAACTCGCACGGGGACGAGACTATAACTACTTTTCCCTAAAGAGAAGGGAGGGAAGGAAAAAAAAAAAAAAGAAAAAAAAAAAAAGGAGAAAAAAGAAACACAACACTTGATATCAAAGTAAATAATCGTGCAGGGGGAGGCGGGGGAAGGGGTGAATTCAGCAATGTTAAAAGCTAAACAACAGATCTATCTCCGGACGCTGCTGCTTCACTCAATTGCAACTAATAACCCATTAAAGACAGCGCAGGGGGAACTGAATTCTCTCCTGCAAAGCGACATAAATCCAGAGAAAACCCATTAAACCACCGCCACCGCCACCAAGCCACGCAGCACTACACACCACAGCAAACAACAGGTATACAACACAATAGGGCTGGTTTTCCTGGTTACCTCCTCGGGATCCAGTGTGGCACAAAGCACTGGGAGAGCCTCCTTTTTTTTTTTTTTGCAACGCGCTTCGGTAATTTTCATTAAAAAAAATAAAAATAAAAAAGAGGGAAGAAGGTGAAGGGGGGGGAGGGAGGGGAGAGGAATAAATGGGTAGTAATTCGGTAAAATAAAATAAAATAAATGAACTAGAGTCTGCTGGTGTTTCTCCGGGCCATGGATGTGCAGGATCCCGATCGTTAGAAGTTTGCGGATGGGTTGCCTGGAGATTTGGTTACAATCAGGTTCATTTTTTTTTTTCCTCCTGAAACAAGTGAAGGCGATGGTTACTGCTGTCAATCTTGGCAATCAATGTGAGCGGCCATGTCGTAAGTATTCAAAGCATTTCCCGTCGTGCAACATCAGAAAGTGAGTGGCCAGGGCATTGATCTGAGGAAGGCAAAAGGAGGCAGGGCTCCCCCGCCCAGACAGCACAGGCAAGATGAGACAACACAGGGAGAGAGAGGAGGGAGAGGGGAAGGGAGGGAGAGACAGAGAGAGAGAGAGGCTGGGAGCGAGCGGGGAGAGCAACAACTGCGGAGAAAGTGAGCACAAAACAGAAAGTGAAATCGGCGCGGGCTGCCAGCCGCATCCCCGCGCAGCTATCACCACTCACAGGGCCATTAGACACATGAAACCCTACACCGCTCCGCTCCCGCTAATGACCACTGATTGCCCGGAGTGGTGAGGAAAGGTACTAGAAAGTTACCGGGGAGGGGGTGCGAGGGCGGGGCGGGGGCCGGAAAAGGAGGAGGGGGAGCGGGGGGGTCCCGGGGGAGCCGGTTCGCGGGGCCGGGGCGGCGCGGGGGGGGAGCCGTGTCACACGGGGCCGGCCCGCCCTCCGCCCTCCCTCCGCGCTGCGTGGGGACACACACGCCGGGAGAGTCCCGCCGGCTCGCGGGATACACCAGGAAAATAAAATTACAAGGGGAAAAAAAAAAAGAAGAAAAAAAAAAAAAAGAAAAAAAAAAAAAAGAAAAAAAAAAAAAAGACGATGTGCAGGAGGAGGGAAGGGCTGGCGGCGTGGGGAGGGAGCGGGGACGACGAGAGGGAAGCACTCAGCAAGCGCTTAGTGACAGCTGATAAATGGCTCTCTGAAGAGCCCGATCCCACAGCACGGCCGGGAGCGGAAAAAAAATTTAAAAATTTTAAAAAATTAAAAAGGAGGGGCAGGGGGAGAGATTAAATAGAAAGTATAAATTACACTAGAGATGGGAGTCCAGCTACAGGGACGCGGGGGAGAGGAAGGGGAGAGAAGGCACTCAGAGTCCACAAACTATTTAGTGATGGATTCAGCAGAAAGGTGAAAAGTGAGTGCAGTGAAAAGGGAAAGACAGGTATGGCCAGAGAGGAAAAACTGATTTAGGACGGACTCGAGCTGAAGTTGGGATTCTCGTGGCGACGACGAGAAATTTTAGCAGCGGCAATATATAAATATCCCTCTCTCTGCCTACCAAAAGGCAACAGATAAGGACTGGAATATCAGCTTGAATACCAATTTAGGAACTCACGCTCTCTTGGAAGTGCTAATTGGGGATGGGGGGGGTGAGATCTGGGAGAAAGAAGGAAAGAAGGGAAAAACTATAAGAAGCTGAGGAGAAAAATCAACCAGTGGCAGAGTACTGCAAACCCAAGAAAGTCTCCCTGCTGTATTTTTGCATTCCAAAGGTAAACATAAAAGAGTCTTTCAAACTGTCAGGGGCCCGCAGATCAGGTGGGCAAACAGCGCTGCAGAGTGAACGTCTCCCTCTTTTGATATTATTCACACCTAGGCTAAACTGTTGTTAAGATGGGAGTGCGGAAAGCAACCTCAAGCCCACAAAATGAGAGAGAGAAGTTGTTGATTCATCTCTGTATTTTTGGCACTTTCTCCCCATTTTCCAGAAGGCGCCTGGAACAGTTAGTAACAGACAAACTTTTTAATTTTAAAATAGCTTCATAACTTATAGAGGCCAAAAAGACGAAGAGAGAGCCTGATTTCACTTTCCTTCTCTCTCAAGTAAAAATTTGCAGACTAGGTTAGACCCAGAAGCACACTCAGCCCCACTGAGAATGAACCTGGCTTCAGCAGGACGTGATGAAAATTGAACATTAACGCGATGGCACAGGACAGATATGACCTGGCTCTGATTCATTTTGTTAACAAGCTGTAAAACTCGACACACTGCTGGAGGCATGCACGTCGCATCCTCTGCTATCCGAGGTGCTATCGCCCCTCTCGAGCCGAGTTCAGGGAAAAGGAGTTTTAAGTCAGAACCTCTTGGAATAGCGGACCTGTTTTACACGATATTTTTGGCAATTCCATTACAATAAAAGGAGTAACCAAGTCCTATTCGGCAAGTAGCAAGCACCTTGAAATAGAACTTTATAATTATCTAGTAAAGCTTTATCACCAAATTAGCTGATGAGAGCACAGTAGCAATTCCTAAGCATTCTTTCAATTCTAGTAAAGGACACTAAAAAAGTGAAATTCAGGGATAAGGGGAAATTGTACGATTGTAAATACTGAGTTTGTATTCACCTGCATTCGGCTAATTCAAAGTATTCACCTTGCTGCAGTTACCCGGCGTATGGGATTAACAGCAGTAAAGAGCTGCCTGTCGAGATATTAGTCTGTCCTTTTTAATCTTTAATTATAAGAATTCCCGTGATTGGCCATTACACGCTTTCCTTGTAACACATTTAAACCTGCTGCAAGTAAAGGAAATACCTTGACTTTTTGCACAACTAGTGCAGCTTTGACACGCAAAAAGATTTTTAAAAAATTAAAATGAGCTATGTAAGAAAAGAGATGTAAATCAGAATACAAGGACGAATAGTCTGCCTCAGTCTGCAACTCTAGTAATTTACTGCTGGAAGTTTTTTTCTTCCAAGAAACAGAAAGGAAAAAAAACAACCCAAGCCCTCCTCAAATGTAGCGCCTTACTATATACGAAGCGGGAATGGGACAAGAGATAATTAAAGCATCAGATAAATCTAACCGCCCACCTAGCTCCAAATCGGGGGAGCATCCCGCTGCACTCCCGAAATTGCAGCGCAGGGAATGGCACTGGGCTGGGGCAGGGATGCGGCCACGCTGCCCTGCGGAGCGCAAGGAACGCTCTCCAGCTTGTTGCTTCCCCGTGTGATCAATTAAGTTACAGATGTAACTCACAGCGCCGGAGAGCGGCAACTTCTCGGTGCCAGGAAAAGAGGATTCCTTGGGCATTGTATGCAAATGTGAGCGTGTGTGTGTGCGCGCTGCACGGGGATAATTGTGATTCCCTCTTTGTTTGCGTAAGGGAACACCCGCCGTGCGGATCCGTATACACGTGCCGGGAAACAAGAAAACGCTTTCACTTGGAGCGTTACCCCACGTTCAGAAACGCCTTTGGAATGACTGCTGCCCTGGCTTTGGCTTCATGAAGGCTGAAGGCAGGCAGATGCTGAGGAGGGATGCTGACCTGCTGGGGGTGCCTGCACAGGGAAGGGACTGCAGGCGCTCACATCAGGTCGGGGCACTTACCTGTGCACAGCTGTCATGGCATTTTGCGCCGTGTGTCTCACCAAATGCCTTAAAGTAAAGCAATGTTCAACAAGCGAGGCAACCTGTCTGTGTGCTAAGTTGTACGTACCGCATCTTTAACCTGAGCAGCAAACCTGCAACTCCTGGAGAGTTGGCGGAACAGCCTCAGAAGTTTTGGACTCAAAGGGCGAGAAATTTCACTTTAAAAGTCATTCACCCACTTCTAAACTGCCCTTTCACCCCAGTTAATGCCGGACAATTAAGAGGCATGTTTCTAAATTCCCTCTGCGGACACTGTCCGACAATGAAGGCTTGTTACAGGCTTGCTAAAGATGTTCAGAGAAACTTTTGCGAAATAATCAACAGCATCTGAGAGAAAGCTAAAGGAAAAGAAGTTAAAGCCTGATAATCCGATTGGGAAAAAGTTTTGTTAGACTAGATAGAAGTAAATTACTGCACGTTTCTTCAAAAGCAAACCCATCAGCTGATACGAGTTCCCCTGGAACAAGAACCTCTGGCGAACTCCTCCAAATTTAGGGGACGTTTGCATTTTGTAACACTCAAAGCTAAAGATCTGCCTGAAAACAAAAACTCTGAATTCCTTACAGCGTCATCTGCCAACAAAATGTATTGTCTTGGCAGAGAAAGGATCAAGGAGATTTTAATTTCATTTTAAACTGTGCATCATCTTGATAGCAAAGGAAAAAGCCGCAGCAACAATCTCCCCGCTCCACGCCCCCGCCGTTAAAAAAAAAAAAAAAAAAAAAAGGGGGGGGGGAAAGAGAGAACTGGAAAAACCACATAAACTTTTACAAAGAAAATAAAAGCAAGTTCGACATGAAAACCCCTTCCTGTCTCGGAAAGTTCATTTTAAAGGTCCCTTCTGTAAATCTAAAGTGCAAACACCAGGCTAAGGTAGTGAGTGGCTGGAATTTGCATGCTGATAAGAGAAGGCTGTTGTACTTACAGTGACAGAGGGCAGGCTGCGGAAGAAAAGCTGTTTGTGTTAGCCTGAGAGTCACCCAGGGCTGCAATGAGAGGAGAAGAGAGGAGTGGGAGTGCCAAGCTGGATACACCTTCACCGCATCTCATCACATCTGCCAGCCTCTCTCTCCCTCTCTCTTTCATTTCCACATTCCCTTTGTTCCTGAAAAAAAAATCTACACGTCACATCAGTCCCCAGATGCAGTCTACACCAAAGAAAAAAAAATGAATAATTCAATCAAACTGTGCATAGTCTCTAAGGCAATAAATCTATTGCACTTAAAGAAACGAAGGGTAATTACCGCTATAGAATTAGAATAAGGCCAGAGCGCGCAGGGATCCCAGGGTCTGTAAACTCCACGGTCAAATAAAGTTTCATTTATTTAATCCTTTGACAACCCCAATGTAAACTAAAGGGGAGGATCAGAACTTATTCCGGTTGGGTTTGAGAATGCTTGAAGTGAATGTTATAAAAGGAGAGCGCCCGTGGTCTGTGACAAACACAATGCAAGGGAGTAGAAGTGTTTCACTGCATCACCTCCAGGGTCCGTTCCCCCCTCCCTAATGAAGAGCAGACCACACTCCCACTTCCACCGGCTCCTGCTGCTCGCTGCAAGTGCAGCGGGGATCGCTGGCAGCCAGCAGCCGCCTTACCTGCTCCCGAGCGCCAGCACGGCCTGACAAAAACTCAGGGGAACCGGCAATTTTGTTCCACGCTCTGGCGGAGAGAAGCCTCGGGGGATTTGCACCGGCAAGGATTGCCTCGGAACGCTGTCCCTGACTCGCGGATGTGTGCGGGGCCGAGGCGGGGGACTGCCCGCCGGGGGCGGGGGGAGCCCGGCGGGAGCGGAGCCCGGCGGGGCGGGCGCGGCGGCGCTGCCGGAGCGCGGGGACGGACCGGCCGGGGCGGGAGGCAGGAGCCGCGCTGCTCCCGCTGCTGCCTCGCAGGCTGCTCCCTCGGCTCGGAGGTAAGATCTCTACATTGTGTTTGTCCCCCCCGCGGGTACCCCGGGTGCCAGGGGCGCGCTGCTGCGCTAACCAGGGCGGCGGCTCGGGGCTGTGGCTCAGCTCCTGGTGCCCGAACCGAGCCGGAGCTTAACGTCGGCATCTGCCGCTTTACACTCTCCATCACGTTCTTTGCAAACTTCTCCTGAGGGGCTGGGGGAGGAGTGAGACGGAGAGGGGGAGGGGGAAACTAACCCCAGGTGAGAGCGCGCTCTTGAGATGCCGCAGACCCTCGCTCCGATGCCGCCGGGCTCCGCGCCGACCGGGGAGGCTGAAACACCTTCCGCCGGCGCGGAGCATCGCGCACCTCCCGTCCCTGCGCCGCTGTAGCAGCGGTTTGATTTATCCGAGACATCACCGGGACTGTTATTCCGGGCAAGGCAGAGCGGAGCGCGCTCCCGGCCGCCCGGGCCTGTCCATGTGCTTACCGCGCCACCGTGAGGCGGCCGCGGGCCCCGCACCGAGCGCCCGCCGCGCTCCCGGGGCGG